CCGATTAAATCAGGTGGGTAACTTGTCTTAGAATATTTAAAGATATGAACAGACAAAAATTAGTTTTATTATTACCACTCATGATAATAAAAAGTAAAAATGGGCTAGCTAACCGGTTTTGAATCTTGCTCAACAGACTGAATTTATTCCATATACACCAATCCTATAATTGTGTATATATATATATATATATATATATATATATATATATATATATATATATTGATACATATTTCATTAAATAATATAGGCAAGAAGTGTTGTCTATTTATTTTATGTATATTCTTTTCATATCGTCTGATAAGCTTTACGGAAACAACTATTAGCTTGTACTACTGAAGCCCCTTTCTTAGATCATAATAATATATATATACAACGTGATGGTGTCCCCATGGGTTCTGTACTATGTCCGACATTTAGCAATTTCTACATATCGAACCTCGAAAATAAGGTATTTACAGATTTTAAAAAACCATCTATCTACCTAAGATACGTTGATGATATCCTTATGTTAGTTAAAAATACAAATGAAATACTTCAACTTCAAAAACGTTTCAAAAATAATTAAATTCACGTATGAACTCAATACTACTAATAAAATTCCCTTCCTTGACATATGGATAAACACAAATAATAACAAATTTACTATTTAGCCATACAAAAAACCTACAAGCATAAATTCATGTACACTTAATTCATATTACTACAAAATAGCAATTAAAAAAAATCGAATACATCGTGCAGAAATTAATTCATCCACAAAACAGTTTTTTTTACAGTGAACTAAATAATATAAAACAAACACTTATTAATAATAGCTTTCCAAACTATATAGTTTATGAACAAATAAGATGCTTTCTTAGAAATCTCAATACTAAGCAAATAGTACATAATACTGCTTCTACTAATCTCAAACATATTAATCTCCTATATCGTAATCAAATGCATACTAATTATAAACAAGATGAAAATATACTAAACAAATTAGTAAATACTAATATATCAACAAGGGATTCTAGCAAAAAATTAAGTTAATCATATACTACACTAAATCTAGTATACCCAACTTAATTCTTCACAATGATTCTCCTTCCCCGGTTAGCGATTTGCAAAAAAAAAAAAAACAACATAGTTTACAAATTCAAGTACCCTTTGGGAGATTGTATCTCTAACGAATTAAATAATATTTATGTTGGTTACACCACAAACTCGCTTTCACGACGCTTAACACTACATTTGAATGAAAACTCTAACATTCTTAGGCATTTAAAACAACCTGGCCGCATACACAATTCCTTAAAATCCTTGTTGAAAACCCAATTATACTTAAACATGAAAACAATAAACAAAAGCTAAAAATTCTTGAAGCTATATACATAAAACAGTTGAAACCTAACCTGAACAAAATAAACTATGAAATCTCCACAAACATTCTTAAATGCCTATAATTGGTAACAGAAGCCATTGGTTTATACTAACGGCTTCCCATACTTAATACTTCTCAGATTCATTCTCGCGTGGTCATGTGTGACGTCATGAGCTGCAATGCGCTTTTCGCTTCCAGCGTCTTATATGCACGAGTTTGTTGTTGCTTGGAAATCTTCGATGTAAACAGAAACAGATTATCATCACTGTCTTGTCCGTGTATTGCTTAATATATTGTAATGTACTTGTCATCTTTGATAATGGCTCATGTAAGCCGAAAGCTTAGATAAAATTAAAAAATATGTATCAATATTGTAATTTTCTTTCTTCATTTTATGATAATGTTAAGCTTATCAGACGATATGAAAAGAATGTACATAAAATAAATAGACAACACTATATTATTTAATAAAACATGTATCAATGAAAAAATGCTGCCTAAATACACACACACACACACACACACACACACATATATATATATATATATATATATATATATGAAATCTAAACAAGTGCAAAGATAAGAATCTTGGCTAATGGAATAACGTTTTTTTTCTGTTTTTGTTTTTTCTTATCACGTAATATATATATATATATATATATATATATATATATATATATAGATAGATAGATAGATAGATAGATAGATAGATAGATGTGTATGTGTTTGCGCACACGCAACTTTTAGATCAATTGAAAGATTGAACACAACGAAAATTATATGTTAGACGTAAAACGAATTTACCTCGTAAAAAAGATACGCAGGCTAGAGTGAATAAAAGCAGATTTAAAATTCAGACTATGTCTGCGCCATGATGTCCTAAGATATTAGCAGTTGAAAAAAAAATAACAAACTACAAAACGGGTGCTTGTGTATGTAGGTAAGGAAACCAACATCAATAGTCTTTCTCCTGCTTTCTGTTATTCACGCCCCCCGTTTTTTTTTAACTAAGCCTGTTGGTAGATGTATGCACTTTTGTCTGTTGTATTTGTGCGACAGCAGAACAATTTATATCTCCTGACCAATGATAAACGCTCTTTTATATTCATAGCCTAAAGACATTTTATGCACGCTAACATAATAAACTCATATGTAACGCCTTTATTAATGAATAAAGACAAATGAAAAATCTTACTCGTCGGCTGTAATAATTTTTTTGTCTTTATTCATATTGTCCTTTTACAGATATATTCTATCTGAATTGTTATAACTTTATTAATGTTTCGGTGGATTATTTTCTTTTTTAATCAAGGTAGAATTCCCTATCTCAATTGAGGTCCATTTTGTTATGGTGAAAAACCAATGCGTTGTTATTTAAAATGTCCCTTTTAAATCAACCAATAAAATTGTTTTAATAAACTTTTGTTGCTATCATAACAAAAAAAAAAAAAAAAATCCGGAATGATCATTGAATTCTATTTAAGAGCACTCACAATTTGCAGCCCTCAATATTTACACGAAGGAGAAACATATTGAAAATATATTCAAAACCCTTCAATACCCTGTGAAATAGAACGCTCATAAAATATTCCAAAATAGAAGAGTTTTTCTTTCTGGCAATCCCAACGAATAATACATTAAAAAATACATTATTCTACCGACTAACTCTATCACAACTATAACCAAAAAGAATTTATCTAAACTCAACATTTGTCACAACTACATCTAAAACAATCAAAGACTTAATCATTACAAAACAAAACGACAAGCCAAAACTTGAAGGAGGAATTTACTCTATCAAATGCAGGAATTGTCTGAATGAATACATTGTAGAAACCTCAAGAAGTGTAAAAAAAGAATATATGAACACAGAAGGAACATTTTAAATAACAGACAAAACGCATTGGGTGTTCACCGGAACAAAACGGACCACAATTTTGACACACGGAATGCTACTTTGATTACAAGAGAAAATAATCCATTGAGACGAAAATGTCTGAAAAGTCCCCTGATCGCTAATTCAGCCACAGTAAATTTGCGTTCAGGGTCTTCCAAGAAATCACTATTCTTGGTAGATTTATATAACTTTATTAATGTAAAGCTGTTTCAGTTGTTACTACTAAATGGCATCAGCAAAGAAACGGACGCTTTAATTTAGCATCATTCAAGGTCTCGTCATACAAAGAGGTTTCAGTAAATTCCCAGAAGTATTTGCAAAAAAATGTCGTTTGATTGATTCGCTTTTTACAGCTCATCAATCTTCTGCAGGTTTTTTAAATTTACGCAATCACACGAGCAAGCAGCGAACCATGTAGGTCTCTATTGGACGTGAGTAAGAAGAATACATCACAACATCCCCTGAACCATCACTCAATAATGCATCCATCAAAAGAGTTAAGAACTTCAAATATCTTTGATCTCGCATAATAGATTCCCCAAAAGACTTCAACATCCGCGAAGCTTTTGCATGGAATTCATGTAACAAATGTCACAAGATTTGGCGCTCGAACCTGCCATCCTCTTTAAAAGTCCAAATCTTTCAACACTGATTGAACCAGTCCTACTGCATGGATCAGAAGCTTGGACATTATCTGTTCGTCTTGAAAGACGACTGGATGAAACATATGTTGACCATGTTTGCCGCAGTCTCTGAATATGGAATCCAGTGAAGTCCATAATCTGTTCAATATCAGAGGTCGGCAGTGAAGATTCAGAGAAAGTAGCAGTTGTTAAGTAATTCTTTAAGTCTTCGATATCAGGTTGGCAGTGCAGACAATTTTGGAGAAAAAAATGGCTGCCTTTATACACGTCGCATTGAATATTTTGAGCTTTCTGATTGGTTAACCCTTCTATTGGTGAACTATAAAATGAGTCAGCTCATTTAGGCTAGCTCACTAGTACACACATACCCAAAAAACTGCAACAACATATACAAATCTACTTAGAAAAATCTTGAACGTCTGTTGGCGATCCCATGCAACGTGTAACACAATTTATGGAGAACTGAGACCAACCTCTCTTAAACTCAAACAAAAACGATTACAGTTTTCCGGCCACTGCCACCGAACGGATAGGGAAATCGTCTCATCCTTACTCATATGACTTCGTTCTGGAAGTGTCTTCTCACGAAAATTGACTTTCTCAGACACCATAGCACGGGATTCAGAATTGGGCATTGGGGACAGCAATACAGGATCGAACAGAGTGGAAAAGGATTATCAATGGATCACCCACCAAGCATAGGGAGGTTGAAGGAAGATGATGAAGATGAAAGCCAGACCATATTTTTAGATTATAGGAAATGTTTTGAAGATATTAATGCTTTACTGATACGAGTTCCACGATTTAGCCGGTGGTGGGGGAGTGTTTGTTCCACACGTTTCCCAATGGTATTTGCGCCTAAGTGAATAAATCGACTATAATATGTAACGGATATAACCCGAGTGGAATTGAAACTCCACGCTCCGATTAAAAATTCTGAACCGTTATCCATTACACCACCGGCACATCCAAGCTTACAGCACCTGGTATTCTCAAGAGGTCACCCATCTTGGCTTGACGTTGCTTATCTTAAGTGTTCGTACGATAGCCAGTATTTCAACGTGATATGGCCGTAGGCTATACCAATTTACGGAACCTTGTATTCTCAAGCGGTCACCCTCTAGGTACTGCCCAAGTTCTACGTTGATTAACTTCGGTGATCGAACGAGAACCAGTGTTTCAACGTGATACGGCTCTAAGCCGTCGATTGGTTGAATTGCGATAAATGATGATGATGATGCATATATAAATGCGTTCGAAAAGCAATAGCATTTTACTAGAAACAATGCAAAATTAAATGTACCTTGATTATATATAATATTATTACAATGTTCGAAAATCATTCCCGTTTTTATCAGAAACTATATAAAAGCAAATGTAAATCAATCTTAAATATTAGATCCTTTAGAAAGTAATTTTGTTTTACCATAAAGAATATTAAACAAATTAATATATATATTTCAATATATTTTTGCTGCAGTAATTACTGCTTTAGATAACTATTGACGCTCGGGAGAGGATATTTGATCACCACTGACTCAACACCACCGACTCAACACCGGCCAAATCATGTCCGTGACAACTCTACTCCCGAACAACTCACTACCAGCCTAATTAGCATGTGAAAAACTAAACGCTGGCGTCGAATTCAGAACTTTAGACCGGTGTTGGTTGTCATAGTGTGCACGTCTCTTAGATCGACTTTGAGTTGTAGAGATTTTGAGATTTTGGCTATCTGTCTTAGTTACAAGAGACTATTTGGCTGACTGGACAAATAACCATACTGAAACAGTAAATAGAAGACTGTACACAGAGCTGGAGATGGAGCACCCCACAATATGGACATTCGTTCAGTGGCGTAGCTAGAGTAAACGTCACCCGGGGCGGTCAGCTCAAATGTCACCCCAATGACCCCGATTCACCCTATGCTGAATGGTTAGCTGTAGCTAAATTTTCATACATGCTCTACCTCTACTTTACTCTACTGACCGGTACTTTACTGTTTACATGTATGATCCAAGACAAAATCCAATACCACAAAATAATCAGTTGAAATCAAAAGATATTTAAAATGCAACTGTTCACTTTCAGAACAACTAAATACAAAACACGGCAATACACAAAAGAATGACATTCGATACTATGGTCTTAGAATGAATGTTTTCATTGTGGCAACGCAAACTGGTCAATGACATCGTCAAAATCTGTTTGTAAGCTCGTTTTCAAGGGACAGCACAGCCAGATCCGACAGTCTCGACTGGCTCATGGTTGACGTAATTTTCTGTTGCTAATTTTCCGGTGTCCAATTTTCTGTTGCATCATTTTCTGGGTACCATTTAATTATCAATGATGTTTGAAAGTATTTTTCTTGACAAAAATGTTCTATTTAATTTTTAAGCATTTTTCGGAACATTGTATGTAAATCAACTGCATTCTTTGAAAGGTTACCTAGAGAATTTATGCAAAGTTTATTTTTTTGTTTTTCTTTATACAAGTAAAATAAATTTACATCGTATTTTGATATTATTATGATTTTAGTTTTAGTGATAATTTAAAAACAATAAATATTTATCATTAGTACCAATAATGGAAAATTAAGTTAAAGATTTAAAAGAATCGTTTTTGGAATCGGAAAATAGGCACAAATTTTTCCGATTCCGATACCGTTTCCGATACCCCCAAAAAGTTCGATTTTTCCGATTCTCGATTCCAATTCTGATTAATCGTCCCAACACTAGTAGATATATTCAAAAGTATATCGCTCATTCAATGGAAAATTGTATCTCAGTGAACGGATACACAGGCAAGACTGAAACTGTTGCACTTTTGGCTTCGTATTTCGCTTTGTTGTTATTAATTATGCAGAGTTAAAACACCATATTATCCGATAAAATGTTACAAATAATGTCTCTTGTTAGTAAATCAAGATTGTAGCAACTGAAACACATGAAAGCTGAAAACATTGCTATTTTTCCTACTCACAAATTTCCCGACAATTTATTAGAAAATTTCTGACGGAGGGACATAACTGGGGGGGGGGTCATAAATTATTTTTTGGGGGTGTCATATGTCCGCCTGCGAAACTCTGTGTCTCCACCACTGTTTTCAGACTATTTTTGGCACCTAAGCCTGCTTGAAAAATTTTGTTGGGGGTGACATTGTGTCACCCCTCCTGTGCTGGCACCCAGGGCGTTCCACCCTCTTGCCTCCCCCCTAGCTACGCCACTGCATTCATTACAAGGCTGCAAAAGGTGCAATTAAACTGAGATGGATTTTTCGAGTAATTAATTTCGGGTCATACACGCCTCACTAAATTGAAGAAGTATATACTACTTCAATTTAGGGAAAGGCAGATAAAAGAATTTTGCAGATAGTTTCTCCTTTTTCCATATTTGAGAGGAATTGCATAGAATTCTTTCATAAATCATGTATCAAAAATGATCCTTAATAAATTACTCTTATTTGTTTTTAAAGAATAGACGAAAAAATTCATGGTTTGCATATCTTTGAGTTGTCCTCGGGCTGAGTAGGCTGGTGGTGAGTTATCCTGGAACTCACTTGTCACCGAGTTGCCCGGTAAGGAGTCGGCAGCGTTGAGTTGGCGGTGATGTGTCGTCCTGCGCCCATTGACGCTTTATTGTCCAAAACTTTGTTCGCTTTGATATACATTAAATTATATTATCGTATTATATTATATTTACGTATATTACTAGTTGTTAGAGACAGTGAGAGATATAGAGAAAGTGACACAGAGAGAGAGAGAGAGAGAGAGAGAGAGAGAGAGAGAGTGAGAGAGAGAGCTTCTAAAACACGTAAGGTATATAATGTGTATATTGTGTGACATAGTGGAGGAGCTTGCGCGTCACGAGGAACCTGAATGCAATGCCATCGGGAATTCCGTCGCCTGGTTAGGTTACCAATATCGGTAAGGATTCAAGGAAGAGACCAGACTAAGCACGATCCGGCGCCCGGCAGGTAGGCAGTCTAGGCGACATTCTACATATGAGATCACGTCGGCAGCCCTATTCAAGCTATCATCGTGAACCTGCATGTGAAGCCCTGGTTTGCCGCTACCGATTGTGTCATCAAGGGTGCGTGCCATGGATTGGTAACTCATGGACCACATCAAACAATTCGCAGCCAAGGCTTTCATGCTCAAAGACGTCTCTTCTTCTCACGCCTTAGGAACCAATTGGAGAAAAACAATCCACGGAAAAACAGCATCCGTCGAAATCACTAGAAGACAAATAGAAGAGACGAAGAGAGCCCAAGGAAAAGGATGAGATCTCCATCGAAAATACCAGAAGAGACAAGAACGCCTAAGGAAAAGCCAGAGATCTCCATCGAAAACACCAAAGGACAAATAAAAGAGACGAAGAGAGCCGAGGGAAAATCCAGAGGTATCCATCCCCTGAACCCTGAAGGCCCGATTTCACACAGAAGGAAATGTCGATGACCACACCAATAATGAGCAATGAGTTCCGCCAACGAAGACGGTGTGAAGACCAAGGCATAGAAGAAAAAGTAAGTAACCGAAATTTTTACGATGCAGTCATCGTGACTGATGGTCTTGTCTTGTTTAAATACAGATCACTACAGTTTATGCGCTTTTGTCTAGAAACTGTAACAGAAATCTTCTCAGATCAATTAGAGTATAAATCAAAGGCTGTTTGTATATGAAATCTTGCTTTCTCGAACGGTGTTATTGTGCTTCCTGTATCTGCCGCAATTCTCATGAAAAAAAATTGGAGGCATTACTTTTTTTAATGTTATTATATATCAATAACATATCTTATGTGGTGTTGATTGATTATGTGTAAAAATATATTTTGTAGCTGAGAACTTGGTCTATCCAGCCTATCCAGCAGTGTTATTGTGTACGCAGCATCTGTTGTAGGTAACGTGAAAATAATGAGACATTACTTTCAGGCGTCTTTCATGCCTACCACATATATATATATATATATATATATATATATATATATATATATATATATATATATATATATGATGTCTATTTAATTAACGTTTCTCAAAATGTCAGGATAAAATTAATCAGACCGTTTGTCTATTGTAATTGATGACATTCACGTTGTCTATAATGTTCGAAAATGCTAGAAAAAAATCATGATGAACTTTTGACATTTTCCTCATAAATTTTGTCCGGCGTGTGTGGCAGCTCATTTGGCAATTTGAAAAATCTATTAAAAAATTAAACAGACAAAACTTAACTATAAAATTCAGGCAAAACATATTTGAATGAATTCTTACTATCTTCTCTTTCAGGGTGTGTATTGATAAGCCCCTAAAACGTTTTCTTTCTGATTCTGAAACCTCGAGTTGGAATCTTATGAAAACCTTGAGTTAACTCATTGAGCCCTGACCACCGATTTACCGGTGGTAGAGAAAAATGACTTAATACCTAGCCACCGGTTGAACGGTGGGTACGCACTTGTAACTATTTTTTATATCTAACGTGAAACATTACGTACCAATTATTTGCGAATTTATACTCAGGAGCTCAGGCAGAAAGGTTAAAATAGTTCAGGAACGCAGGGTGCAAAAGGTTAAGTCAAGCCTTGTCAGTGAAATAAAGTAGACGAAATCGTCGATGTTTTTGCCACTGTGAAGTCACAACACATGGTGAACGAGGATTTGAGTGTACTGGCCAAAAATGATCTCGCCACATTATTTGCTAGCCTCCAGAAACTATAAGTAATTGCTGTCCAACTTAATTGCAATATAACTACAGAGTTTATACTGGGTTGAGCAGGCGTCAGTTCTAAGAATTTGGAGGCTCACCATGCATCACGTCCTGGGTATGACGATAAACTATATCCACGTCATGGTTAAGACGGTAAACTATGCCCAACAGCAAGGCCTCTGATCAGGAGGTTTTGAGGAGCGTGGAACCACCTCTTAATTGCTGTTGTTTCCAGATCCACCTTGGCCCGAGGTGGTAGCACCTGTTAGGGTCCCAGCTAAGGGCAAATAGTTAACCCACAAACAAAATCAAAACACTACGAAAGTTAAAAAAAAATAGATTTTAATACCAGAAATACTTTGTAAAAAAATTATTACCAGCTATTTTTGAAAAAAAAAATTATCAGTTATATATTTTTGAAGAAAAAATATTCCCAGAAATAGATTTTTGAAGGAAAAAAAAAAATATTACCAGCAATAAAAATTTTGT